ACACACACACAGACACACACACAAAGAGAGAGACACACACACACCGAGAGACAGAGAGACACACACACACACACATTGATTGATAGAGGTCAGAGAGGATAAGCCTTAGACCCCGGCCACACGAGGACGAAAACGGCTCTAAACGCATAGGATTAACGCAAACGCAATCGCAAACAAGCTTCCGTCCACACGCAATAGTTATCCGGATAGTGTCTGCCGACACGAGACCGCTCCGTTTAGCTCCAACCGCTGGAGAAGCTGCAGTACATGCAGGAGCCTGTACGTGGCGCTGTAACTTCCTCCACAAAAGCAGCGAAGAAGCATGGTTGTCATGGTTGCCCATGGTTTATTCTCCGCGGTGGGGGCCGAGGGAACCGGGCAGAGTTTTTCGCCAGTCAACGTGTATTAAAGTTTAAATCTTCCGACAAAATTATAAAAGTGCCGGTCAAAGGTCTTCTTTGTTATTTATTGAGCTTTAAAACAAATGAATAACGACTCTATATAATATAATAATAAAATACACCGAGCCTCTCTTTTTCCTCCCTCTCTTCGGACAGCGCCAGTGTCTGTCTCATGCAGCAGCTGATCCAGTAATGAGTGACCCGGCCGACAGTAAAAATAAACATATTTATAACTAGGAAGTTTGAGAGGTGTCTCCGTCCTGTCAGATTAGACTTCTCTCGCGTTCATGTCCATATCGAGAGAAAGATAAATAATCTGAATTCAGTGTGCAGTTTACTTTGACGCGGGGGTGAGCAGCAGAGGTGGGGAGAGGCGGGGCTATTGCGCAATCATTATCAGAAAATGATCGCTGAAGCTGCAGTACATATCCATAAAAGCAGCGAGTAAGATCCCCCCGGATGTGTAAGTCTGTTGTAGATGTTGCAAAAAGAACTGTAGCATGGTCAGTAGCGTCCGGAGCACGATAGCAACTCTGCGATCCGCCATTGTTGTTGTTGTTGTTGTTGTTGGTGGTGGCGAAACACATCAGCAATGGCGCGGGGTAAGCGGAGGTGAGCAGAAGAGGTGGGGAGAGGCGGGGCTATTGCTATTGCGCAATCACTATCAGAAAATGTTCGTATAGGGCGCACACACGGAGCCGTTGGACCCCCCAGAGCGTTGCGTATGCCGTTCTATCCACCTTGGGACCCGTTATCGTTTCCTCAGTCGTTTAGTGCCGTATTCGGTCGTCCTCGTGTGAATGGTCTATATGACACTAAACAGTAACGCAAACGGCCGTTTTCGTCCTCGTGTGGCCGGGGCATCAGATGTCACATTTCTGATTACAATACTTCATGTTTGTGATGTTTTCTTTGCTATTTGTCCTCAAACTTAAAAAACCTGAAATCTAACTGCAGCTGGTTTTTAAAAAGTATTAAATAACAGGACCAGCAAGACAGAGAAACATCGGCTTCTGCCAATTGACACTAAATCTGATGTTGGAATTGTCCAAAAGAGTCACACACACTCTGTGTTTTGGCCTCATTTTAGATTCTATTCCTATCCTACTTCTTAATATGGTATCTATTGCCCATTGACATATGGTTTTTCAGAGACCAGTGACGGTCTTCTCACCTGTATACTGGTCAGAGTGGTGTACTGGTACGCCTTCACCACGGTGTAGTTCGCCTCCACATCTGCTACTCCCATCAGAAGATACTTCCACCACTTGGTCTTTAAGATGTGGAGGATGTTCCTGTCTCCTTTAGAAACACATGCAGTTTGATGAGGAGGAAAAAAGAGCTCTGGTTTCAGACAGAGGGTGAACAAATAAAGAGCTTTTTGAACATTAAAGCATGGAGACACTAAATACTGACCTGAACATCAGCAGGAGAGGACTCTTTAAAGTAGAGACACTACATACTGATATACGCCTGAACATCAGCAGGAGAGGACTCTTTAAAGTAGAGACACTACATACTGATATACGCCTGAACATCAGCAGGAGAGGACTCTTTAAAGTAGAGACACTACATACTGATATACACCTGAACATCAGCAGGAGAGGACTCTTTAAAGTAGAGACACTACATACTGATATACACCTGAACATCAGCAGGAGAGGACTCTTTAAAGTAGAGACACTACATACTGATATACACCTGAACATCAGCAGGAGAGGACTCTTTAAAGTAGAGACACTACATACTGATATACACCTGAACATCAGCAGGAGAGGACTCTTTAAAGTAGAGACACTACATACTGATATACACCTGAACATCAGCAGGAGAGGACTCTTTAAAGTAGAGACACTACATACTGATATACACCTGAACATCAGCAGGAGAGGACTCTTTAAAGTAGAGACACTACATACTGATATACACCTGAACATCAGCAGGAGAGGACTCTTTAAAGTAGAGACACTACATACTGATATACACCTGAACATCAGCAGGAGAGGACTCTTTAAAGTAGATACACTACATACTGATATACACCTGAACATCAGCAGGAGAGGACTCTTTAAAGTAGAGACACTACATACTGATCTACACCTGAACATCAGCAGGAGAGGACTCTTTAAAGTAGAGACACTACATACTGATATACACCTGAACATCAGCAGGAGAGGACTCTTTAAAGTAGATACACTACATACTGATATACACCTGAACATCAGCAGGAGAGGACTCTTTAAAGTAGAGACACTACATACTGATATACACCTGAACATCAGCAGGAGAGGACTCTTTAAAGTAGAGACACTACATACTGATATACACCTGAACATCAGCAGGAGAGGACTCTTTAAAGTAGAGACACTACATACTGATATACACCTGAACATCAGCAGGAGAGGACTCTTTAAAGTAGAGACACTACATACTGATATACACCTGAACATCAGCAGGAGAGGACTCTTTAAAGTAGAGACACTACATACTGATATACACCTGAACATCAGCAGGAGAGGACTCTTTAAAGTAGAGACACTACATACTGATATACACCTGAACATCAGCAGGAGAGGACTCTTTAAAGTAGAGACACTACATACTGATATACACCTGAACATCAGCAGGAGAGGACTCTTTAAAGTAGAGACACTATATACTGATATACACCTGAACATCAGCAGGAGAGGACTCTTTAAAGTAGAGACACTACATACTGATATACACCTGAACATCAGCAGGAGAGGACTCTTTAAAGTAGAGACACTACATACTGATATACACCTGAACATCAGCAGGAGAGAACTCTTTAAAGTAGAGACACTACATACTGATATACACCTGAACATCAGCAGGAGAGGACTCTTTAAAGTAGATACACTACATACTGATATACACCTGAACATCAGCAGGAGAGGACTCTTTAAAGTAGAGACACTACATACTGATCTACACCTGAACATCAGCAGGAGAGGACTCTTTAAAGTAGAGACACTACATACTGATATACACCTGAACATCAGCAGGAGAGGACTCTTTAAAGTAGATACACTACATACTGATATACACCTGAACATCAGCAGGAGAGGACTCTTTAAAGTAGAGACACTACATACTGATATACACCTGAACATCAGCAGGAGAGGACTCTTTAAAGTAGAGACACTACATACTGATATACACCTGAACATCAGCAGGAGAGGACTCTTTAAAGTAGAGACACTACATACTGATATACACCTGAACATCAGATTGTGTCCCCTTTAATACCTTTTCTGGTGCAGAGGATGGTGGTGTAGACCAGCAGCAACATGGCGTAGTTCAGGAAGCTTTGCAGCATTGGCGTCTCCACCTTAGCGTCAGCGAGGTACTGACAGCTGACCGCAGTCCCACAAATCAGCAGAGAGCAAACCTGCCCCATCAGGAGGGTCTTCAGCAGGCGCCTGGGGGGGGAAGCATCGTGATATATCATCAAACTAACGTATAGGCAAGAGGGCTGAAACGCATAATTATTTACAGATAAATTGCTATAAAATGTGAGAAAATAGTGGAATATATCTTCAATTTGTCAGTCAATAAGTAAATGTCTTATTTCATCAGACCTGAAGAAAATCTCTTGAATATGATAACATTAAAGACATGTACAGTAAGAGGGATCATTTACAAGTCCAACTACTTTCCAGTGTTTCCCTGGGTGAGGTAGGAAGTCTGCTTTATGCACCTGAAACCACACCTTGTTCACTATGACATCACTGTGCTCCTATTGGCTAGCGCTCCATCACATTGTATGTGATAGGCTAAGGGCGGGACATCTCTAAGCAGGTTGACCAATCACAACAGAGCTACAAAATACAAATACAAGACGTATCTGACACTCCCACTCACCAAGGTCAAAGGATAATGGATTAAAAACTAATTACAGACATTTGAACATGAACTCTGTTATGTCTCTTGCAGCAGGACAGTTTTCACTTTTAGTTTTTAAAGATAAATATGGTTTAATTAACTCGTATTTACTGTTAAACCAATATAAAAGTGTCTTTGAGGACAATGATCAGCACTCTATAAACAAAATGTATTATTATTGTTATAATGACAGACAATTTGTATTTTTTATATGCAAATACAGTATCACTGATGTACATGGTATGCAACTAGAAAAGCAGATTTAAAATACAAATGAATGCATAAAAATAGTCAAATGTGCAACAAAATAACAGCATGGTTTGTCGAGGTCATTTCACAATGTGGTACACAGGTGTTAATATAATATTTAAAGACAGATCTGTTATACTCAAAAGTCACAGTAATAGAAACCCTATCAATTTAGCAGCTTGGTGAATTTTAAGCCATCATTAATTCTATTATTTATAGCTAATCTTCTTCCTCTCACATGCCAACGCCTTTTCTTTTAGGGTTACCTGGGTTCTTTTAAATGAAAGCTTTTCCAGGGGTCGTTTAACAATGTTTTATTATTGCACTTCAGCACTGCTCTCTGCATTATCGGTGTTTACAATGACTATTTATAATGTCTTTTAAGAATTCTCCTTTTGTTCACTTGATTTTGTTTTGAATTATTATGTGTTAATGCCTTTGTAAAGCATGTTGAATTGCCTTTGCGTCTGAAATGTGCTACATAAATAAACTAACCTTAACCTAAGATGTTCAACTAGAGCGTATTGACCTGTTTTATATTACTGATTGAATGATAATTGTAATAGAAAAATATTATTAAGTTAAGTTAAAGGGGACCTATCATGCAAAATGCACTTTGTGATGTCTTCTCTACATCACCATGTGTCCCCGGTGTGTCGGGGAACTCACGCAGCGTCAGAGAATAAAAACATCTCTTTTTTCCTCCGTACCCAAATCTCTAAAAACGGGGAACAACGGAGCTGATCCAGATTTGCGTCCGATATGACGTAATATCTGAAATGTGGACCCACGGCCCAATCAGAAACGTTGCTATCAGAAACAATGCCCGACTGTTTTGGACGTAATATGGTCGGTGTTTACATTAGCATCGCTAACACTCAGAGCTAACCTGTACTGGAGAGCATGTGTGTGAAGAAGCAGGAAGTAGAAAGGAACTCACCTTGTGGTATAACCGGCAAGAGAGAAAGCCTTTGAGCTCCAGACTGTTTCAGAGAGAATCCTTGATAACCCATGATATGGCGTTTCATCACGGCAGCATTTAGTTTAGACAGTAGCTGCCGGGTCCCGCATGAGCTCAGACACTCCTTTATTATTTTAAAGCTTTATACTATGGAAGCAAACAAGAGACAGAAGTATTTGAATTTTATTAGACACCGAATTTATAGCATTGAAAATAATTACTTTGAAAATCATGTATACGAATGTTTTTGCTCCGAATTTACCTATGTGAAATAAAAATGTAAAAATTCAAGTTAAAAAAATTTGAATGTTCAACTTCAGATCCCAAAAATTCAAGTGAAAAAAATTCGACGTCAAATATTTCGGTGTTTAAAATTCGATGTTAAATATTTCGGTGTATAAAATTCGACGTCAAAAATTGCGATGCAGCCTCATCCGGGCTACTCAGACAGGATAAGCAATCGAGTCCGAATGCAATCAAACCGACTTCTGGCCTATCAGAGCCAAGCGGCAAACCCCGGGACAGTGCGGTGAAGCCCAATGCTGCAAACTGTAGGCGATGGATGCAGATGGGAGCAATTCCCGTAGACCCTATGTTAAAATGTCCAACTTAACATCAGAAAATGAACATGTTTCTAGCCTGGATCCACAAAAACATATTCTGTATATAGTTAGATTCCCCCTTCATGACAACGGGGCTGCTGCTCCTAGCTCCTCTGTCTCACTGTTAGCTCCGTGATGCTACAGCGGCTCAGCTCATGAGGAGAACACTACTTGAACTCGGCCGTGTTTGTTGTGTTGGTTCCTGGTGGACTATTCGTCCTGCAAATATAGGATTTATCTGCGGTTGAAACAGACCGTCCATGAATGCAGTTTCTTCGGTAAGTCAACCCTGCGTACTTTATGTTATGTTACTGGTGTTTTTATTAAGCTAACGTTAATGAATGTTTAGAGTTGGGTTAGCATTTGAGCAATCGTAGCTCCATCTGTGCTAACGATGCTATGCGTAGCATCCAAGAGTGTAAAACATTAAGTGGGATGCTACTGTATACCAAAAGGCTTCTGTGCGAGGTTGCTAAAATAAGGTCATCCTTGTACGTTAGATAGTTAGTTTGCTATTTAGGTTACTGTATGCATTGTTAAGGTTCATTTAAATTCGCTATGCTCTACTATAGCATAAAATAGACTAGCTAACTTCAACGTATTGTTGAAGAGAGGCTTAGTGTATATTAAATCAACCTCACAATGAAATGTGTGTATCTTTAAAATATGAACGTCACATTTCAAGATGGTCCAGAAATAACGCTCCCTTAGATATTATTATATGGTTTGTTGAACTGGAGTTATGTATTGCAGCTAACCGCCTATCCGACGAACGACCCAAACATTGTTGTTTTTAATATTATTACCAATGCCTCTTTTAATTGTATTATCATCACACTTGAGAAACAACCTTATCGTGGCTGTACAACGGAACATGTAACTTAATTCCTGCATTTAAGGACGATGAATAGCGTAGTCAATGCTTTAGTGACAAGGAAATTATGTTTAAATAGTAGATATGACGTTATCTGTGACTTCAGTGGAAATGAAGCTTATCCATTGCATTTGTTCAATAGGTTTGTGTCTAACCCTTACGTGTGTGATGCATATGAATATGGCATGAAAACAAATTAATTTGACTGACTCATGAAAACCTCATCCAAAGTAACAGTAAAATAAAAAGGACCTACACAATAATGCTCAATCAAACTGATACAGTATAAGGACTGTGATATCCAGCCATTTCTGAAGTATAACAATAAGATTATGACCTGTTTTTAAAAGAAGATAAAAAAGTAGTTTGCATGGAAAGAAGTCTGTAACCCATGCATGTAACTTTACATCTGTTTGTTCAAAGTCTCCTTAAGGTGATCCAGACAGGCTGGACCAGAGTAGGAGAGACAGACCTGGACCAGAGGAGGAGAGACAGACCTGGACCAGAGGAGGAGAGACAGACCTGGACCAGAGGAGGAGAGACAGATCTGGACCAGAGGAGGAGAGACAGACCTGGACCAGAGGAGGAGAGACAGACCTGGAGTCCTAGCAGCAGAGAACTTCAGCACGGATTCCAAGGTACACCTTTTTCATGCTTTACAAAGAATGCATAAAGTAATTACTCTAATACACTGATATACATGCCATTAAACATGACTGAATACTAGATCACCTGCACATCAGTGATGTTGAGAGCACTTTCTTAGCTAAAGGTTACATTTTACCAAGCAACATCACTTTTTTGTTCAACTTTCACATTTCAATGTATTTAAGGCAAATATTATTGAACATAGTGAGAGCTGCGACCCTTTGTCTTTCAGTGAGACAACCGGACAGAGCAAGCTTCTACAGTTGCACTAAGTTTTGATAACAGTTAAATATTATTTGAATAATACATTTATTTCAATGTTGATGAATTTAGAACGGTTTATTCATAAACTGATTATCTTTGTAGTACACTGTTGGATTTAAAAAACACATTCAAATAAGAAAATCATTATATTTATGAACAAACAAACACACTTGCTCTGCAATAATATGTTTCTTGATATTTCTGTTAGGAAAGGACACGCCTGAGAGACAGGACTGCTTCACCATTTTCTCTTTCTCTGAGGGTCCAGAAGAACATCCAAGAGGGAAAGGAGAAGCTGATGTGATAAAAGTCAGCTGATCAAATGCATTTGCCTCACTATATGAGCTTCACAATACTTGTGCCTTGTGCCGCCGAGTTTGCAACGTCATAAATAAATGGTGCCAATCTTCAGTCAGATGTGAATGTGTAATTTAACATTTTCAGTAAGAATAATGGACAAAAGGAGTGCAAATACAATTTATTGAAATGTGAACTAAAAGTTATCAAGCATGAACCATCACCATTTAAAAAAAAAATAACAACGAAATAATATACATAAGTTACACTAAATGTTAATCTGTTAATTGACAGGCCTGTGCAGGTGGTAACAGCTATGTCCAGCATGGGCTAAATTCTGTAGGTGCAGCTGGTGCAGGTCCTCCTCCCTCAGGCCTGGTCCTCCTCGCAGGGAAAGACCCTCAGCCCTCTCTGGCGAAAGCAACAGACAGGACGTTCATAAAGCTGAGGTTTCCCCCAAAGTCTCTAATCATCCATCCTGTGAATATGAGAGGGGAACAAATAGTGTAATATATGCTTTGGAGGATAAGAAATATAAAGTTAACTGTTGAGTTGCTCAGTTTTTTAGATTGACAGGGTTTAATAACACAAACAAAAGGAGAGAAATAAAGATTGGTCTTTCAATACATTGTGTTGATTTTGTCTTTTGAATTGTTTGTCTGAAGTCAAGTAGCTAGAACTGTTACTTATAGTTTGAATGATACAGTCTGGTTATCATGTTTGGAGGAGGCATCACAGGTAAGAGCACCATTTGTTGTGTTCCATCCACAACAAATTGATGTGTGTATTTATGTATCTACTATTTCTTGAATCATTACTGTCAGTCCAAAACAAGAGATTTTGTTTTGGTAACATTTAAAAAAAAAACATTATCTCTTTTCCACTACACTATCTTGAATACTTTAGTTTTTACGTCACTACATTTATCTAACAGCTTTAACATTGTAAAGGTGTCACTTCGGACTCTGGGTAATTATGACAGCATGTCCTACTCAGAGCCCTCGAGTCTCTAGGGCTCTGGTCCTACTAGTTTGAGACTTTGAACAAACCAGACCTTCATCTATTAATGTAGAAAATAGTCAGCACATTAAACCATTATGAAAGTAATAATTAGTTAGCTCATTGTTCAAATGAGCTCCAACTACAACAGTTAAGTCAACTCGTGCATCGGTAATAACAATAAATCAAATGATATCATATAATAGTATAACTTGTGTCTACTTTAAATACTTTAACAACACTTGTTGCTAATTATACTAGCATACTTTTACTAAAGTAACATTAACATGTTTAAATGCAGGGCTTTTGTAAGAGTGTATTTCGTATAGTGTAGCATGGTCTACTTGACTTATCTAACCGAAGTGATCGTTACGTTACTTTGCAAACCGTCACCCCCCACACACACACACGGTAACGTGATTCACTTCAATTAATGATAACTACGGAGCTTGCTAACAGCAAGGCACAAGGCTACTTCACTCATTTAGCTAATGTAAGATACAAATGCTGTCGAGCAAGTAAAAATAAAGAGCACAAACTGACTACTTACCGAGCGGCGAGCCCCGCTGTTCTCCGACATTTTTCTTCCGGGTTGTTGTGATCACATGACTGACAAAGCCGTGCTCTGATAGGCCAGAAGTCGGTTTGATTGCATTAGGGCTCGATTGCTTATCCTGTCTGAGTAGCCCGGATGAGGCTGCATCGCAATTTTTGACGTCGAATTTTACACACCGAATTTTTTTAAATCGAATTTTAAACACCGAAATATTTGACGTCGAATTTTTTTTCACTTGAATTTTTGGGATCTGAATTTGAACATTCGAATTTTTTTAACTTGAATTTTTACATTTTTATTTCACATAGATAAATTCGGAGCAAAAAAAAATTCAGATTCATGATTTTCAAAGTAATTATTTTCAATGCTATAAATTCGGTGACTAATAAAATTCAAATACTTCTGTCTCTTGTTTGCTTCCATATTATACCCAAATCAGCACTTTAGAAACAGGAAGTGAAATAGAGGGATATGAGGCATGGCTAGAATGGGTGATCTGTTGAGTAAAACACTTCATAGACATGTTTTTTATATATTTGTAGATATCTGAGACCTATGCTATTGCCTAAAGATAGCATGATAGGTGAGCTTTAATAATAGTGATTCTTATTTTCTAATATTTAACTATATTTACTACTTCTCACACTTCTTAGCTAAGCTTGGGAAAAGCCCTTATTAAGAAGATGTGTTGCAGTGTTGTTAGTTACTCTATGTGCACCAACAGTATGACCTTCACCTTCTGTTGAACTTAGAACTTCCTGATAGCCTCCCTAACTCCCTAACTTCCAGAATGCTCCTTTGTTATCACCAAGCTCAAGCCCTCCCTTCAAATATGCAACCCAAACTCTACTCTTCGTCTTTCGCTCTGCAGACTGTATGCCCTCTGTGTGACTGACAAAAGACAGCTGAATGGTTTGATTCTTTATCCACATTTGATAAATAAATTCCCACCACATTACTCACCATGTGAACACGTCCCTCAGGTTGTAGTTGTACAAACCGCAGGCGACCCTCCATTTCCCACACAGCCTCTCGTCTTCATGCCCCTCCATATCTGTGAGAGCTAGATCTGGAAAATAAAATCAAAGATGAAAAACCTTTAAGAATTAGTGTCTTTAAAGCTTACTGTCTTCATCAGACCATCCGAGCAGCAGAATCTCCACAGGAATGTAAATGTGAATCATGTGACTGATGAAGAGAATAATTTCTGCTCATTAAATGACAATAACTGAAAGCATGGTGCCTGAGATGAGATTAAATTCAAAGGCTCAGAGGACTGAGACCATGAAATGCAGTTTGCACTTAACCAGAAGTGCAGAGTTACTCAAGTATAATATAAATAGATAAACAAACTGGTGTATATACACTATACAGAGGTTTAAACTGTATTAACAGCTAATTGAATACACTATACAGTAGATCAGGTATAAATAAACACAGTATAATACAGAATACTATAGAAAATATAGTTGTTTGGACAGACAATACAGATAGGTCTGAAGGACATAAAAGTCTCTTAATATGACAATCTACTCTGCCTTGTTTCTAGCCTGGTTAATAAGAATTGAGATTACAGAACTCCACTTAAAGTTAAATTACTTACAGACTGGGTATACATTAGAGGCAATGGAGCTAAAAGCAAACAGATATGTACATTTTGGGAAAGTTGAACTGCAATTAGCCACAATTACGCCATTATGCCGAATGTTAATGTAGCTTGTTATAATGCCAATTAAGGTTTAACATATGTTTAAACGGGTATAAACGACTTAACATTCAACTGTTATATTATCTTAATGAATTAAAAATAAAGACAATATTTACAACAAACTAAAATACGTAAGAAACTGGGTACAGTAAATAAAATAAAATGCGACAAATACTATATTCAAAGTGCAGCGCTGTGCAGATTTAAAACAGGAAGTGTGGAGGAGAACATATTTTTGCAGGATTTACTGTATTAACAAATACAAGATATTGCACATAAGCACATTTTAGGACTATTAAACTAAATTAAGCTAAAGTTCCATCATTAGATGTATGCCAAATTATAATGTAGGTTCTTATAATGCGAATTATGGTTTTAAATATGTCAAAACATGTTTAAATGACTTGTAATACACAAAACATAATTAAATTGTCCCTTTTTTAAATGCAGTTTGGTTAAGCTTCAGTGACAGCGTCTTATTATATAGAGCTAAAAGCGAACATTTGAGCACATTTGAGAATATTAAACTACAGTAAGGCATACTAATAACATTATATGTATGCCGAATGTTAATGTAGCTTATTATAATGCGACTCGTTGTTTAAAATATGTTAAAGCATGTATACATGACTGGCAACACCCAAAGCTAAATTAAAACCATCTTTTTATCAAAGGAGTTTGGTTTAGTGTGTTTTACACGTCAGCGACAGCGTCATAAATCGGGCTTCCTGAATATTATTTATATCTTAAGAAAGCGTACATACCGTAACATACGTTTTCTTTTTCCTCTTCAGTCATGACAAGTGTGGAGAAAAACTCAAACGGTGATAAAAGTCCATCCTTTAAAAAAAATCGCACCAAATTCTCAATCCACGTTGGCAACTTGAGAACGTCAACCAAACATCGTGCTGACAAGCCCCGCCTCCTGCGTCCTGATTGGTCGAAATACAACAGTGAAGTGACGTCGGCGCGGTGCAGTCAAACTTGATCTGATGCTGATGAGAATAAACCAAAATTACTCAAATTCGGTATGAAATACACATATAAAGGGACTTATCTTAAGTGTATCCATGTTATTAGATGTTTAACTTCTACTGCACTACATGTCAGAAGGAGAAATGGTATTTCTTTATCTAAAAAATGTGTTCATTTCCATATTTAACCTTCATACTGTTCTTGTTTGACATACAATCGCAGCTGTTTTAACAAATACTGCCCTTGTTTCTTCCTAAAGTGAAGGTTAGAATCCTTGTATGAGAAGGTATTTGACCATGATTTGAGACAGAGAAAGACTGATAACACACACCAAACTGATTGTAGGAAACAACAACTGTCCTTGACTCAAATATGATTCACTGGTATCTATGCAGAGGTGTAAACTGGCTTAGTACATTTACTCAAGTACTGTACTGAAGTACAATTTTGAGGTATTTTTACTTTGTGCTTCTACTCCACTACATGTATTTAATACATTTGATTACTTTACAGATCTGGATTAATGATGTGAAATATAATCAAGTGTTAAATCAGACTTTAGTTCCACCAAGATCTGAGTACTTCTACTTTTACTCAAGTATAAGATCTGAGTACTTCTACTTTTACCCAAGTACAAGATCTGAGTACTTCTACTTTTACTCAAGTACAATATGTGAGTACTTAAATCTACTTAGTTACTTTACACCACTGTGTATTTCTACTTTTAAGTAAAGAGGAACTTCTTCCACCTCTGTCCACCAGTGTTAATCTTCACGCTGCGTGTAGGTCTCGCGAGATTTCACGAGACGATAAGTTGAAGGGAACATGGCGACGTCTCATTTGCTAAAGGTAGGAGCCACTTCAATTCCATTATTTCTTATAAAACGCTCACTAAAGTGTGTGACATTTACATGGTGTAATGTTGGCATTTAGCTCCACACTTAACACACATCACACAGCACCTATTAGCGATTCTACACAATTGATGTTGGATAGTTAACTTACATCTAGCTAGCATTAGCATGAGCTACTTATCACTGATTTAGCTAAACAGAATAGCTACATCACAGCTAACTGAATATTGAGAGAACAGCATGAGATTGGAGACGTTTTCTTACCTTAACCTGCGTTTAAATATGAATATTATGTGTGCATACGGTAGCTACACATCTCTTATCATCTGTCACTTCAGTTCAGACCCTCCCCTTCAAACACACAATGCTAAAGGCTGCAGAAATACAGCCTCCTTATTAAAATGAATCTTTAGCAGAGAAAGAGACAGTAGTTAATGCACTAAAGCATGCCCTGTGTTCACGTACTGTACATTAAGATAATATTTCTCCATGCGAAGTCTTGTATTTTCTCTGTAATGTCTGACTCCAGCAGTAGCCCCTCTTTCTTGACAACAAATGAATTGTGATTGCATTTAGACACACTGCCTTATGTTCCTGTCAAGCTAATGAAGTCAGGTAGATAACAGCTGAGGATTAACTTTAACTCAATGCACATGAAGTGTAAGGACGATGTGTTTCTGCAGACTTTGGCAGTGTGTGTTTGAAGGGCAGGGTCAGGAGAAGCTCTATGTATTTAGTTGTGTACAGTGAAGGCTTTCTATTGTCCTCCTTTTTATAAAAACAAAAGGTAGCTTGTTTATTTCAAGGGGTTTATACTTCGTTGTCTGCAATTTTGGGGATTTGTTTGTGCATTCTTAACGATGCATCATGTGTGGAAACCAAACCCAAGAGTCCTACAATGTGGGACAATACAATGAACCTTGATTACAGATAGTTAGACACAGAGATGAATGCACTACAGAAATGAAGCCAGTAGTTAATGCACTATACGATTCAAATACACGCTGATAATAGCCGCAGAAATACATAGGCCTTACAGTTTAAGTGCATTGAGTTAAAGTTAATCATGAGCTGTAATCTAACCTAACAAAGCTTGACAGGAACATAAGATACTGTGTTTTAATGCAATCATAATTCATTTGTTGACAAGAAAGAAGGACAGGGGAGGTGACACAGCTGCTGCTGGAGACACTTATCAGAGCTGTGTTTAGAGAAAATGGCTTTACAGTCAAAACACAAGACTTTGCATGGAAACATATTATCTTTATGTACAGTGTGAGCAAACAGGCCATGTTCTCGTGCTTTAGTTACTGTCTCTTTCTCGGCTTCAGATTCACTTTATTGTCCCAGAGCGGAGAGGATATTAAAGAGTCCTCTCCTGCTGATGTTCAGGTGTATATCAGTATGTAGTGTCTCTACTTTAAAGAGTCCTCTCCTGCTGATGTTCAGGTGTATATCAGTATGTAGTGTCTCTACTTTAAAGAGTCTCTCTGCTGATGTTCAGGTGTATATCAGTGTGTAGTGTCTCTACTTTAAAGAGTCCTCTCTGCTGATGTTAAGGGTATATCAGTATGTAGTGTCTCTACTTTAAAGAGTCCTCTCCTGCTGATGTTCAGGTGTATATCAGTATGTAGTGTCTCTACTTTAAAGAGTTCTCTCCTGCTGATGTTCAGGTGTATATCAGTATGTAGTGTCTCTACTTTAAAGAGTCCTCTCCTGCTGATGTTCAGGTGTATATCAGTATGTAGTGTCTCTACTTTAAAGAGTCCTCTCCTGCTGATGTTCAGGTGTATATCAGTATGTAGTGTTCTACTTTAAAGAGTCCTCTCCTGTTGATGTTCAGGTGTATATCAGTATGTAGTGTCTCTACTTTAAAGAGTCCTCTCCTGCTGATGTTCAGGTGTATATCAGTATGTAGTGTCTCTACTTTAAAGAGTCCTCTCCTGCTGATGTTCAGGTGTATATCAGTGTGTAGTGTCTCTACTTTAAAGAGTCCTCTCCTGCTGGTGTTCAGGTGTATATCAGTATGTAGTGTCTCTACTTTAAAGAGTCCTCTCCTGCTGATGTTCAGGTGTATATCAGTATGTAGTGTCTCTACTTTAAAGAGTCCTCTCTGCTGATGTTCAGGTGTATCAGTATGTAGTGTCTCTACTTTAAAGAGTTCTCTCCTGCTGATGTTCAGGTGTATATCAGTATGTAGTGTCTCTACTTTAAAGAGTCCTCTCCTGCTGATGTTCAGGTGTATATCAGTGTGTAGTGTCTCTACTTTAAAGAGTCCTCTCCTGCTGATGTTCAGGTGTATATCAGTATGTAGTGTCTCTATTTAAAGAGTCCTCTCCTGCTGATGTTCAGGTGTATATCAGTATGTAGTGTCTCTACTTTAAAGAGTCCTCTCCTGCTGATGTTCAGGTGTATATCAGTATGTAGTGTCTCTACTTTAAAGAGTCCTCTCCTGTGATGTTCAGGTGTATATCAGTATGTAGTGTCTCTACTTTAAAGAGTCTCTCCTGCTGATGTTCAGGTGTATATCAGTATGTAGTGTCTCTACTTTAAAGAGTCCTCTCCTGCTGATGTTCAGGTGTATATCAGTGTGTAGTGTCTCTACTTTAAAGAGTCCTCTCCTGCTGGTGTTCAGGTGTATATCAGTATGTAGTGTCTCTACTTTAAAGAGTCCTCTCCTGCTGATGTTCAGGTGTATATCAGTATGTAGTGTCTCTACTTTAAAGAGTCCTCGTCTGCTGATGTTCAGGTGTATATCAGTATGTAGTGTCTCTACTTTAAAGAGTCCTGCTGATGTTCAGGTGTGTATATCAGTATGTAGTGTCTCTACTTTAAAGAGTCCTCTCCTGTTGATGTTCAGGTGTATATCAGTATGTAGTGTCTCTACTTTAAAGAGTCCTCTCCTGCTGTGTTCAGGTGTATATCAGTATGTAGTGTCTCTACTTTAAAGAGTCCTCTCCTGCTGATGTTCAGGTGTATATCAGTATGTAGTGTCTCTACTTTAAAGAGTCCTCTCCTGCTGATGTTCAGGTGTATATCAGTATGTAGTGTCTCTACTTTAAAGAGTCCTCTCCTGCTGATGTTCAGGTGTATATCAGTATGTAGAGTCTCTACTTTAAAGAGTCCTCTCCTGCTGAGTTCAGGTGTATATCAGTATGTAGTGTCTCTACTTTAAAGAGTCCTCTCCTGTTGATGTTCAGGTGTATATCAGTGTAGTGTCTCTACTTTAAAGAGTCCTCTCCTGCTGATGTTCAGGTGTATATCAGTGTAGAGTCTCTACTTTAAAGAGTCCTCCTGTTGATGTTCAGGTGTATATCAGTATGTAGTGTCTCTACTTTAAAGAGTCCTCTCCTGCTGATGTTCAGGTGTATATCAGTATGTAGTCTCTACTTTAAAGAGTCCTCTCCTGCTGATGTTCAGGTGTATATCAGTATGTAGTGTCTCTACTTTAAAGAGTTATCTCCTGCTGATGTTCAGGTGTATATCAGTATGTAGTGTCTCTACTTTAAAGAGTCCTCCCCTGCTGATGTTCAGGTGTGTATCAGTATGTAGTGTCTCTACTTTAAAGAGTCCTCTCCTGCTGATGAACAGGTGTATATCAGTATGTAGAGTCTCTACTTTAAAGAGTCCTCTCCTGCTGATGTTCAGGTGTATATAAGTATGTAGGTCTCTACTTTAAAGAGTCCTCTCCTGCTGATGTTCAGGGTATATCAGTATGTAGTGTCTCTACTTTAAAGAGTCCTCTCCTGCTGATGTTCAGGTGTATATAAGTATGTAGTGTCTCTACTTTAAAGAGTCCTCTCCTGCTGATGTTCAGGTGTATATCAGTATGTAGTGTCTCTACTTTAAAGAGTCCTCTCCTGCTGATGTTCAGGTGTATATCAGTATGTAGTGTCTCTACTTTAAAGAGTCCTCTCCTGCTGATGTTCAGGTGTGTATCAGTATGTAGTGTCTCTACTTTAAAGAGTCCTCTCCTGCTGATGAACAGTTTGAATCATCTCCTCTCTCTCTGTTTGCAGAACAAAGGCTCCCTTCAATTTGAGGACAAATGGGAGCTGATGCGTCCGATCGTGCTGAAGCTGCTGCGGCAGGAGAGTGTCACCAAGCAGCAGTGGTTCGACCTATTCTCGTGAGTTTACTCTATCACACAGAGGTGGGAAGTAGTGGAGTACAAATACTTTGTTAATGTACTTAAGTACATGTTTTTGGTATCAGTACTTTACTCCACTACTTATTTTTCTGACAACTTTTTACTTTGACTTCTTACATTTTGAAACAAAATACCTGAACTTTCTACTTCTTACATCCATCCATCATCTTCTCCCGCTTATCCGTGTGGTCTGGGTGGGTAGCAGTTCCAGCAGAGAGCCCCAAACTTTCTTTTCCCTGGCGACATCAACCAGCTCTGACTGGGAGATCCCAAGGCGCTCCCAGGCCAGCGAAGAGATATAATCCCTCCACCTGGTCCTAGGTCTACCCCTTGGTCTCTTCCCAGCTGGACGTGCCTGGAACACCTGCCTAGGGAGGCGCCCAGGTGGCATCCTAACTAGGTGCCCGAACCACCTCAACTGGCTCCTTTCGACGCGAAGGAGGAGCGGCTCAACTCCGAGTCCCTCCCTGATGACCGAACTTCTCACCTTATCCCTAAGGGAGACACCAGCCACCCTGCGGAGAAAACCCATCTCGGCCGCTTGTATCCGCGATCTCGTTCTTTCGGTCATGACCCATCCTTCATGACCATAGGTGAGGGTAGGAACGAAAATGGCCGGTAGACAGAGAGCTTTGCCTTCTGGCTCAGCTCCCTTTTCGTCACAACGGTGCGGGTAAAGCGACTGCAGTACCGCTCCCGCTGCTCCGATTCTCCGGCCCATCTCACGCTCCATTGTTCTCTCACTCGAGAACAAGACCCCGAGATACTTGAACTCCTTCACTTGGGGTAAGGACTCATTCCCTACTTGGAGTGGACAGTCCATCGGTTTCCTGCTGAGAACCGTGGCCTCAGATTTGGAGGTGCTGATCCTCATCCCAGCCGCTTCACACTCGGTTGCGAACCGATCCAGTGAGTGCTGAAGGTCGCAGACCGATGAAGCCATTAGAACCACATCATCTGCAAAAAGCAGTGGTGCAATCCTTAGTCCACCGAACTGCAGACCCCCTCCCCCATGACTACGCCTCGAAATCCGATCCATGTACAGTGGGGCAAAAAAGTATTTAGTCAGCCACCAATTGTGCAAGTTCTCCCACTTAAAAAGATGAGAGAGGCCTGTAATCTTCATCCTAGGTACACTTCAACTATGAGAGACAGAATGGGGGGAAAGAATCCAGGAAATCACATTGTCTGATTTTTAATGAATTCATTGGTAAATTCCTCTGTAAAATAAGTATTTGGTCACCTACAAACAAACAAGATTTCTGGCTCTCACAGACCTGTAACTTCTTCTTTAAGAGCCTCCTCTGTCCTCCACTCGTTAACTGTATTAATGGCACCTGTTTGAACTCGTTATCAGTATAAAAGACACCTGTCCACACCTTCAAACAGTCACACTCCAAACTCCACTATGGCCAAGACCAAAGAGCAGAAACACCAGAAACACAATGGTAGACCTGCACCAGGCTGGGAAGACTGAATCTGCAATAGGTAAGCAGCTTGGTGTGAAGAAATCAACTGTGGGAGCAATTATTAGAAAATGGAAGACATACAAGACCACTGATAATCTCCCTCGATCTGGGGCTCCACGCAAGATCTCACCCCGTGTGGTCAAAATGATCACAAGAACGGTGAGCAAAGATCCCAGAACCACACGGGGGGACCGAGTCAATGACCTGCAGAGAGCTGGGACCAAAGTAACAAGGCTACCATCAGTAACACACTACGCCGCCAGGGACTCAAATCCTGCAGTGCCAGACGTGTCCCCCTGCTTAAGCCAGTACATGTCCAGGCCCGTCTGAAGTTTGCTAGACAGCATTTAGATGATCCAGAAGAGGATTGGGAGAATGTCATATGGTCAGATGAAACCAAATAAACGTTTGGTTAAAAAACTCAACTAGACGTGTTTGGAGGAGAAAGAATGCTGAGTTGCATCCAAAGAACACCTACTGTGAAACATGGGGGTGGAAACATCATGCTTTGGGCTGTGTTTCTGCACAAGGACCAGGACGACTGATCCGTGTAAGGAAAGAATGAATGGGGCCATGTATCGTGAGATTTTGAGTGCAACCTCCTTCCATCAGCAAGGGCATTGAAGATGAACGTGGCTGGGTCTTTCAGCATGACAATGATCCCAAACACACCGCCCGGGCAACGAAGGAGTGGCCACTCCAGGACCTTGAAATGCTTCGTGGCCTAGCCAGTCTCCAGATCTCAACCCCATAGAAAATCTTTGGAGGGAGTTGAAAGTCCGTGTTGCCCAGCGACAGCCCCAAAACATCACTGCTCTAGAGGAGATCTGCATGGAGGAATGGGCCAACATACCAGCAACAGTGTGTGAAGACCTTGTGAAGACTTACAGAAAACGTTTGACCTCTGTCATTGCCAACAAAGGGTATATAACAAAGTATTGAGATGAACTTTTGTTATTGACCAAATACTTATTTTCCACCATCATTTGCAAATAAATTCTTTAAAAATCAGACAATGTGATTTTCTGATTTTTTTTTCTTCTGATTTTGTCTCTCATAGTTGAGGTATACCTAGGATGAAAATGACAGGCCTCTTTCATCCTTTTCAGTGGGAGAACTTGCACAATTGGTGGCTGACTAAATACTTTTTTGCCCCACTGTATATTACAAACAGGATTGGTGACAAAGCGCAGCCCTGGCGGAGGCCAACCCTCACCGGAAATGGGTCCGACTTACTGCCGAGGACCCGGACACAGCTCTCGCTTTGGGAGTACAGTAGGGATGTGCATCTCCATCACTGAGGCCGATGCGATGCGCATCTCGATACGTTGCCACGATACGATACATTAACGATACATTTGAAACACCAGGCGATGCGATACGATACGATTCACCCCTGTTGCGATACAGTTCGATACGATTTGATTCAACATTATGCGATTCGGTGCGATACGATGCGATTTTCAACACGATGCAAAAATAATGATACTTCAATTGGTACGACAGGGATTTTGTTGTTTATTCCTTATATGCAGCAAATCATACATTAACAAAAAAGTGCTTTACATATTTGGTACTGCACATCCCATCATGCCGTTTATTTTTTTACCTTTAAAAGCTCTCAGAGTACAATTGTATAACACCTCACAGTTAAACAATGTAAGGATGCATTGCTCATGATTAACAATGTGCAAATAACAGCTACCATAGAGCAATGCCCATACAGCTGCCAGCCTGATGTGCTTAACACTCCATTCATAGGCTAACTCACCCAGTGAGCAGAAGCGGTGGGTTCTATATGAACAATAAATAATACAAATAACCTTTCACAAACAGGTATTTCATAACTGCTTACAGTGAGGGAATACATTTAAATTATTATTGGCCGTCACAGGCTGCTGTAAAACTAACACCTCTTCTCTGACAGAACACCTCACTGAGTGATTTAACTCATAGGTCTAACTTTGAGGTTCTCTTTTCAGCCCGCAGACCCCATGTCGACTCTTTATGTGCGTCGCTAAGTTCCTCGCTACTACTTGTGTACTTTTAAAGCGGCTCGGCATCGTTAACAATTTGCGAGCGATTTTCAAGTTGACCGTCTGTGCCGCGCACATATACCATCAGGACGTTACTGATGGGGTGCGGCTGCGGAGTGATACTGTGTGTATGCAAGCCCGCGTCTAGGACGGATCTATGTATCATGGCTGTAGACCTGTTAAGTAATAAAGATACCTCATACAAAAGTCTACGGATACCTTATTACTCTCCATGACCTGCGGTCAACTATATAGCCTAGCATAAAGGACTATTACACCGTCTTCTTGAACAATCCGAAGTGTACCAAACGTTTTGATTTGTAGGTATTTTTCGGTGCGCTGTGTTCTCTTTCCTCGACTCGTGTGTTGATAACTGAGACTCTCGGCCTCCGTAGTGGCGAAGCAAATATCAAAGATCGTCTCTGCTGAGCGTTGAAAGATTAGGGGATTTTATATGAATGAATCGGTTTTTTACCGATGCAAAGACGCTACGCCATCGATGCATCGCGAGTTCAACCCGGTTCAACCAAACTGTAGCCGATGTGCACTCTTTCAACCGGTGCACTCGCATCTTGAACGTTTATGCCGGTGCACCGATGCGAATCGGTGAATCTTAACATCTCTAGAGTACAGAGATTGGATGGCCCTGAGTAGAGAGACCCCCTCACCCCATACTCCCGCAGCACCTCCCACAGTAACTCCCTGGGAACTCGGTCATACGCCTTCTCCAAGTCTACAAAACACATGTAGACCGGATAAGCGTACTCCCAGGCCCCCTCCAGGATCCTTGCGAGAGTAAAAAGCTGATCCGGTTTCCCGACCAGGACGGAATCCGCATTGTTCCCCTCAATCTGAGGTTCGACAATCGGCCTGACCCTCCTTTCGAGTACCTTAGAGAAACTTCCCAGGGAGGCTGAGTAGTGTGATGCCTCTGTAATTGGCACACACCTCTGATCCCCCTTTTAAAAAGGGGAACCACCACCCCGGTCTGCCACTCCTTCGGTACTGTTTCGACTTCCACGCAACGTTGATGAGACGTGTCAACCATGGCAGTCCCTCAACACCCAGAGCCTTCAGCATTTCCGGACGGATCTCATCCACCCCGGGGCTTTGCTTCTACTTTCTACTTCTACATGTGAACCCAAATACCTGTACTTCTAGTCTTACATGTTGAACACAAATACCTGTACTTCTAATCTTACATGTTGAACCACAAATACCTGTACTTTCTACTTCTTACATGTTGAACACAATACTGTACTTTCTACTTCTCTCATGTTGAACCCAAATACCTGTACTTTCTACTTCTTACATGTTGAACTCAAATACCTGTACTTTCACTTCTTACATGTTGAACACAAATACCTGTAACTTTATACTTCTACATGTTGAACTCAAATACCTGTACTTCTACTCTTACATGTTGAACTCAAATACTGTACTTTCTACTTCTTACATGTTGAACACAATACCTGTACTTTCTACTTCTTACATGGAACTCAAATACCTGTACTTTCACTATTAAATGTGAACTCAAATACCTGTACTTTCCTTTCTTACATGTTGAACACAAATACCTGTACTTTCTATCTACATGTTGAACTCAAATACCTGTACTTTCTACTTCTTACATGTTGAACTCAAAACTGTACTTTCTACTTCTTACATGTTGAACACAAAATACCTGTACTTCTACTTCTACATGTTGAACACAATACCTGTACTTTCTACTTCTTACATGTTGAACACAAATACTTGTACTTTCTACTTCTCTCATGTTAAACCAAATACCTGTACTTTCTACTTCTTACATGTTGAACACAAATACCTGTACTTTCTACTTCTTACATGTTGAACCAAATACCTGTATTCTACTTCTCTCATGTTGAACACAAATACCTGTACTTTCTACTTCTTACATGTTGAACACAAATACCTGTACTTTCTACTTCTCTCATGTTGAACCCAAATACCTGTACTTTCTACTTCTTACATGTTGAACCCAAATACCTGTACTTTCTACTTCTTACATGTTGAACAAATACCTGTACTTTCTACTTCTTACATGTTGAACTCAAATACCTGTACTTTCTACTTCTTACATGTTGAACTCAAATACCTGTACTTTAACTTCTTACATGTTGAACACAAATACCTGTATTTTACTTCTACATGTTGAACACAATACCTGTACTTTCTACTTCTTACATGTTGAACCACAAATACCGTACTTTCTACTTCTTACATGTGAACACAAATACCTGTACTTTCTACTTCTCATGTTGAACCCAAATACCTGTACTTTCTACTTCTTACATGTTGAACACAAATACCTGTACTTTCTACTTCTTACATGTTGAACAAATACCTGTACTTTCTACTTCTTCATGTTGAACACAAATACCTGTACTTTCTACTTCTTACATGTTGAACTCAAAATACCTGTACTTTCTACTTCTCTCATGTTGAACCCAAATACCTGTACTTTCTACTTCTTACATGTTGAACAAATACCTGTACTTTCTACTTCTACATGTTGAACTCAAATACCTGTACTTTCTACTTCTTCATGTTGAACCCAAATACCTGTACTTCTACTTCTTACATGTTGAACCAAATACCTGTACTTCTACTTCTTACATGTTGAACACAAATACCTGTACTTTCTACTTCTTACATGTTGAACTCAAATACCTGTACTTTCTACTTCTTACATGTTGAACTCAAAACCTGTACTTTCTACTTCTTACTGTTGAACACAATACCTGTACTTTCTACTTCTTACATGTTGAACTCAAATACCTGTACTTTCTACTTCTACATGTTGAACTCAAATACTGTACTTTCTACTTCTTACATGTTGAACACAAATACCTGTACTTTCTACTTCTACATGTTGAACTCAAATACCTGTACTTTCTACTTCTTACATGTTGAACACAATACCTGTACTTTCTACTTCTCACATGTTGAACTCAAATACCTGTACTTTCTATTCTACATGTTGAACTCAAATACCTGTACTTTCTACTTCTTACATGTTGAACTCAAATACCTGTACTTTCTACTTCTACATGTTGAACTCAAATACCTGTACTTTCTACTTCTCACATGTTGAACTCAAATACCTGTACTTTCTACTTCTCACATGTTGAACTCAAATATTGTACTTTCTACTTCTTACATGTTGAACCCAAATACCTGTACTTTCTACTTCTTACATGTTGAACACAAATACCTGTACTTTCTACTTCTTACATGTTGAACTCAAATACTGTACTTTCTACTTACATGTTGAACTCAAATACTGTACTTTCTACTTCTTACATGTTGAACTCAAATACCTGTACTTTCTACTCTATCATGTTGAACCC